ATCATCTTTGTTGCTCTTCTCTGTACTCTTTCTAGAGTCTCAACATCTTTTTTACATCGTGGTGACCAAAACTGGATGCAGTATTCCAAGTGTGGCCTTACCAAGGCATTGTAAAGTGGTATTAATACTTCACGTGATCTTGATTCTATCCCTCTGTTAATGCAGCCTAGCACTGTGTTGGCTTTTTTGGCAGCTGCAGTACACTGCTGGCTCATATTTAAATGATTGTCCACTAGGACTCCGAGGTCCCTCTCACAGTTACTACTATTGAGAAGGTACCCCCTATATTATACCTGTACATTTGGTTTTTCTTGCCTAAATGTAGAACCTTACTTTTTTCAGTTGCAGGAAGAACAGTTGCAGGAATGTCTAGTCTAGTTGAAAGAAAAGACTAGGGGTGACATGGTAGCAGTGTTCCAGTATTTTAGGGGCTAGCACAAAGAAAAGTGGGGGATCATCCTATTCTCCAAAGCACCTGAATGCTGGACAAGAAGCAATGGATGGAAACTAACCAAAGAGGGCAGCAACCTAGAACTAAGAAGAAATTTCCTGACAGAATAATTAACCAGTGGAACAACCTGCCTCCAGAAGTTGTGAATGCTCCATCACTGGAAGTTTTTAAGAAGAGATTGGACAACCATTTGTCTGAAATGGTATAGAGTTTCCTGCTTGAGCAGGGGGTTGGACTAGAAGACCTCCAAGGCCTCTTCCAACTTCCAATTTTCTGTTAAAGGCACAGTCTGTGTCCAAAGGTTGAATCATGACCACTGGATCAAACTCAGGATTTGGTCCATTTGCCATGATTCAATCTTTGGACACCTTTGGGCTAGATGATTGGGTCTTCATTGACATAAAGCACCATCTCTTCATCACTTTTTAAAATGGCTTTATTTTGTAAAAATGAAAAGGCAAGAACAACATGTTTCAGTAGGTCTAGATTTAATAATACGTTAACAGATTACTTTTATGCTGGATAAATATTGTATTTTTGTCTTTTTCCCCTTAAGTATGATTTCTAATCACCAGTATTTAAAATTTATTTTATTCCACTGCAACCATTTTTTTATTATTTGTTTGTTATATTTCAGCATTTTTTTTTAAAAAAAGGCAGGTTATGTTCAACAGCTTTGTTTTCTTTTTGTTGGTTTCATGTGCCTGTTCTTGAATACAGCATGAAACAAGGAAACCTAGGACCAGTTAAATTAAGAATTAGAGGACTAGAGTTGGAAGGGACCTTCTAGGTCATCTAGTCCAACCCCCCCCGCCCGGCCAAGCAGAAGAATAGAGTAGAGTAGAATAGAATTACAGAATAGAATGGAATGGAATGGAATAGAATGGAACAGAACAGAACAGAACAGAACAGAACAGAACAGAACAGAACAGAACAGAACAGAATAGAATAGAATAGAATAGAATAGAATAGAATAGAATAGAACAAACAGAGTTGGTGAAGCACCCACAACTTCTGAATGCAACTTCTGTTCCATTGATGGATTGTTCTGTCAGCAAATTTCTCCTTATTTCTAGGTTGAATCTCTCCTTGATCAGTTTCCATCCATTGTTCCTTGTCCGGCCTTCAGGTGCTTTGGACTTTTGGAGAATAGCTTGCCCCCCCTCCTCTCTGTGACAGCTCCTCCAATATTAGAAGACTGCTATCATGTGTCCTCTGGTCCTTCACTAGACTAACTGTGCCCAGTTCCTGCAACCGTTCTTCATATGTTTTAGCCTCCAGTCCCCTAATCATCTTTGTTGCTCTTCTCTGCACTTAGCCAGTGTTCGTTTGTCTGATCCAAACTGTTCCCTTTTCCCAGGAAGATCAGCGCCCCGTTGAGCAAAAAACTGGGTCTGCAAGAGAAAGTGAGGCAGAAACCTTCTCCAAACCCCATCCTGGAAGCTTCTTACAGAAAGTGGAGGAAAAGTCCCCCAAAGGTGAGTTTCTTCCACACAGAGGTACTGGAAAGTGTGGCTACAAGTGGCTAAAACTCCGGCCTTGGGTATAATACTCCTGATTTTCAGGGGTCTTATAAAGTAGACCTCAAACAGCTGAGAATAGCCAAGTCGTACTTAGTCCTTGATGGGAGAGCACAAATGGATCATGTACACAGAATACAGAATAACAGAGTTAGAAGGGATTTTGTAATGTTATTAGTTTTTAAAAACTCTGGTCTTACACCTTTTAACCTCAGATGGAAATGTAGGAAGAACATACATGCACACACACACACACACACACACACACACCCCAATCCTTTTTACTATGCCCCCCAAATCGTAAGAATAAAGTTCGGGAGAAGAAATACAAAAACAATGTTTCTCTCATGAACTTAAGTAACCCCGATCATTGAGAAAAATACACATTGCGTCAAGCTTGGCTATTTATTAAAAGAGACATGCTAAAGGTAACCGACAGACTATAGATCACAGGATAAAATCAATAAGAGTTGCTTCACAGGATTAGAACCATGGGAAGCAGAAAATTAAAATCTATCATGAGTCTTTACAGGGCAAATAAAACAAACCAGGTAACAAAAGCACACAAAGCCAAACCTCAAAAATCACAAAATGCTGTAAAACTGGATAAAAATCCTTGTCCTCATCAAATCAGCAATCCGAGAACAGAATGCTGTTGCTGGTTCTGCTCATCCATAAATAGAAACCTTCTTTCTTAAGCAGCCTCCATTTTATTTCTAGCTTGGAATTGGACCTGATTTTTTTTTCAACAGGAACTTTGCTTTTTTTGTTTTTTATTCATTTTTTTCTGGGGTCATTATGTTAGGGTACATCTAATTCACTTCTAGAGAGAGACTGTTTATATTTTCGCTGTGAAAGCTCTGTTACAAGAGAATTTTAGACTATATTAAAAATGTAAACAGGAATAGAATAGAATAGAATAGAATAGAGATGGAAGGGACCTTGGAGGTCATCTAGTCCAACCCCCTGCTCAGGCAGGAAACCCTATACCATTTCAGAGTAATGGTTGTCCAATCTCTTCTTAAAAACTTCCAGTTTTGGAGCATTCACCACTTCTGGAGGCAGGTTGTTCCACTGGTTAATTGTTCTCACTGTCAGGAAGTTTCTCCTTAGTTCTAGGTTGCTTCTCTCCTTGATCAGTTTCCATCCGTTGCTTCTTGTCCTGCCTTTAGGCGCTTTGGAGAATAGCTTGACTCCCTCTTCTTTGGGGCAGCCCCTGAGATATTGGAACACTGCTATCACATTACCCCTGTTTCTTCTTTTCTTTAGATTAGCCAAACCCAAGTCCTGCAGCTGTTCTTCATATGTTTTAGTCTCCAAGTCTTTGATCATTTTAGTTGCTCTTCTCTGAACTTTTTCCAAATTCTCAACATCTTTTTTGTAGTATGGTGATCAAAACTGGTTGCAGTAAATTAAGGATTTTGAATATTCAGAATCAGAATACAGCTGAAAGAGTCCAAGCCCCTTGCTCAAGCAGGAGACCCTATACCATTTTTGACAAGTGGCTATCCTGTCTCTTCTTAAAAACTCCAGTGATGGAGCGTCCATGACTTCTGAAGGCAAGCTGTTCTACTGGTTAATTGTCCTCACTGTCAGGAACTTTCTCCTTAATTTCAGGTTGCTTCTCTCCTCTATCAGTTTCCATCCATTGTTCCTTGTCTGGCCTTCAGGTGCTTTGGAAAATAGATTATCCCCCTCCTCTCTGTGACAGATTCTCAAATATCAGAAGACTGTTATCATGTCACTCCTAGTTCTTCTCTTCACTAGATTAACCATGCTCAATTCCTGCAATCACTCTTCATATGTTTTAGACACCAGGTCCCTATTCATCTTTGTTGCTCTTCTCTGCACTCTTTCTAGCTTTCTCTAACTGGTTCAGTCCCCTTCTTCCACTGTTGCTTTTTTTTTCTGATGGGAGATCACAGATGGATCCAAAAGCTGTAGACCAGAGAAATAAGTGGTTGTTGTTTTTAAATCTCAGAAGAAAGCAAGGTGGAGTAAGGAATTAACTAATGTTGCAAAACCCTGAAATGAACATTTAACAATTGTTAAACCGATAATTATGACTTCAGGGTAAAATGCATTTTATGAGAAGCGCTGACCCCAGTTAAAATATGTGTATGTGTGATTGTGGGGGTTTTGTGTGGGTGTGTGTCTGTGTAAAAGTGTGACACATGTGGAAGGGTAGCAATGGGGCTGAGGTGCTTTTTGAATTTACTTCTTTTTGCAAGAAACATCTGAAAAAGTCAGATTTCCCTAACTTAACGCTTTTCTGATGTACTGCGAGTGTCTAAGAAGTGGGATTGCCACCCTGGCAGGTTTTGGGGAGTGAAAATCCCAACACCCCAAAGGCGATCAGAGTGAGAGAGAAAAAAATGGAATTAAGGTATGATTTTCCTAATGGGATTTTTCTCTTGAAATGATATATGATGCTTTAACCCCCCTTCCCCATCCCTCCAATTTTATTTTATTTTTATTTTACATTTTAGATTTTTCTGGGTTTTTTCGGTTTCTGGTTTTTGGAGGTTGTTGTTTTTATTTTATTATTTTATTTTTTCTTTCCTTTTATTAATTTAATCTTATTATATTATTTAATTTTATTTTTTAATAATGTTAATAATTTTATTTTTAATTTAATTTAATTATTTTATTTTTTATTTCATTAATTTAATCTTATTTTATTTTATAATTTTATTTTGTTTTTAATCATGTTAATTTGATTTTTAATTTAATTTTATTTTTAATTTTAACAATGTTAATGTTAATTTAATTTTTAATTTAATTAATTTTTTCTTTTTTAATAATTCTAAGAGTTTTATTTTTGTTTTTAATTTTAATAATTTTATTTTATTTTAAAACTTTAACCATTTTATTCTATTTTATTATTTATGTTATTTTTTATTTCTTTATTTTACTTATTTATTTATTAATCGTATGTACACGTTTAGGCAAAACAAAAATATTTAAGAAAAATAAAAATAAAAAAGTTAAAACCGGGCTTGTTGCTTTCCCTAGCAAAGTGGTCTTGGGACTTCTCTCATTTGGTTCTGTGTCCTGCTTTCCAGGAAGAAGTCAACGGCTTAGCCAAGCAGTGTGATCTCCAACCGAGACAGGTAGAAAGGTGGTTTCGATGCCGGCTGAATCAGGACCGGCCCAGCTTGACCAAGAAATTCTGTGAAGCCAGGTGAGTAGAGAAATTCTTGGGGCATAATAGTCAATCCATGGGCATCACAACATCCTTAACACCCAGTAGGATCTCTGCCTCATCTGACTTTTCCAAGAAGATTGTGAACAATTTAAGAAAGATATTTGTGTGATGCAAAAGGAAGTGCCGCCTTCCAGCATCTTACGATATCAAAAGCAATTCCTTTTGGTCCTCCCAACCGATGGAGGATCTCACTGGGTTGTTAGAGAGCAGATCTGGTGGATCTTTGTGACTGGCCATGCCAAGCAGGGCAGGGCATTGATGTACTAATAAACATACAAATCATGCCCTCAAAACTCAATACTGAGATCCCCAATCAAAGTAGGGGCCTCACTCAGAAGTTCAACAGGGACAAAACTGGCTAATATTTGCAGGAGAAGGAAGAGAAT